GAAACTTCCTGATTCGTGTAGCTTTCGATGACGCCTGGTAAACAAGCTGTGATGAAGATGTCTAGGTTAGGATACGCTTATGTATAAAGACAAGCTTTCAAGGAATTTCTGTTTGCACGCCCGTACAAACAATAGTAAGAAACGCCTTAAGAAGTGAGAGCGGCCCACTAGACTTTGCAAAAAGTGTGTTCTTATAATACTAATACTTCCGTAATATGTTAATGTTTTTATATTTTCGTTTATAAGATAAAAGAATAAAAGCACCAGTTTTCCGTCATATTTGTAATATATATATGCTTCAAAAAAATGTATACACACTTTAAACTATTGTAGTTTTCCCGCTCCACAAGGCTAATGTTATATTTCTTCGCCAGGTGCCAGCATAATCGTCCCTCTATGTTATATTATCAGTTGGAATTTGTAATATCAACATGGGGAACGTACGTTTGAGTTTTGAAGAACGTAAGCAGGTTATTAAGCGGTACTGGAAGTTTGAGAATGTAAATGAAGTTCAAAGACAGTGGAGAAGGGAGTATGATACAGAACCACCTTCAAGATTAACAATTACACGCATACGAGACAAATTCGAAGTTCATGGAACAGTGTGTGATGTGCATAAAGGTCATTCGGGTCGGCCTCGAACAGCTACAAGTGATGAGTCATCAACGGCAGTCTTGGAACTGTTTCAACGCTCTCCTAACAAATCTTCAAGGCAAGGGGCACGTGAAAGTGATGTAAGTGCTAGCAGCGTGCTACGCATTCTGAAGAGAGGCAAATATCGTGTTTACATTCCAAGGCTGGTGCAACAGCTAAATGACGACGATGCAGATCGAAGGTTGCAATTTTGTGAATGGATTTAGGAGATGGTGATACGTGAACCGGGATTTATGGGTAGCATCATTTGGTCGGATGAAGCCCAATTCAAACTTAATGGAACTGTCAATAGGCACAATTGTGTTTACTGGGGTGAAGAAAATCCTCACATTACAATTGAAAAAGCTGTAAATTTGCCTGGTGTAAATGTGTGGTGCGGGGACTCATTGGACCTTTTCGATTTGAAGGCACTGTAACTGGTATTAATTACCTAACAATGCTTGCTGATTGCATATTTCCTGCCATTCGTGCATTATACGGTAATGATGATTTTTATTTTCAACAAGATGGTGCTCCGCCGCACTATCACAGGGACGTACGAGCTTACCCGGATCAAAATTTGTCGGGCCGGTGGATAGGACGCAGGGGGCCAATCGAGTTTCCACCACGCTCTCCAGACCTTACACCACTGGATTTCTTCTTGTGGGGCACAGTAAAAGATGAGGTGTACAAACGTAAACCACGTAACCTAGACATTCTTTGGAATGAGATTCAAGCAGTGTGCAGAGAAATCTCATTGGACGTTTTGATACGATGTACAGAATCAGTGGTGACTCGTACTCAGAATTGTATTGATGCTGCAGGTCACCAATTTGAACAGTATTAACATTTGTTATTTATGTTTCATTTACATTGGACTTTCAGCTTTCTATTTTCCTGAAATTTAACTTTGTAGAACGGTAAATAAATTTTCTATGGAAGTTCAAAGTGTGTATACATTTTTTTGAAGCACTCTATATATATATATATATATATATATATATATATATATATATATATATATATATATATATATATATATATATATATATATATATATATATATATATATATATATATATATATATATATAATATAACAAACTACCATTTATTTTAATCACACCCTTAAATTTTGGTGAGTTTTACGCATTTGCTATGAAACACCCCGCATGGTGACCAAAAATAAGACGCTGCCTAAAAATGAAATTTTATTTTATTTTTATTTTTTTTCCAACTATTTATAAACAAATGATCTATCACTGGAAAAAAAGAAAGATAGATATTGCATATATAATAAAAAAGCCGAAATAAAATTTATAAAATTGAAACAGACCCAGAAAATAAACCTTACATATTACAACAATTTTGACCAGGTGACGGCATGGCCGGAATTGTTTCGGTTAAGTCACATAAAACTGCCATATTTTACCGGCTATTTTTGTTTTATCGTGACAATTTCAGTGATGTTAAAGTTGGCACAAATATACTCGTATCTCTAGTGATGAAGACATTACCGATGTGCGAAAAAGCTATAACCAATGTTTTGGGGTGGAGTTCATAAAAGAGCTGAGGTTTCCAATGCGATCGGCAATTACTCGTGCCACAATAGACACAAAAGATTGCCTAGTGCCTGCTTTAACCGACATATAAATAGATAGGTTTCAAAGAGAGTGCCGACACAGTATGCAGGTATACACCATAACGCAAAAATGTTGCTGTTCCGATTTGAAATCACCTCCAACGTTTTTGTGGACTTTTTATATAATGCAACGTCAAAATTATATATGAAATGAAGAAACATTGTTGTCGGGCTAATGATATACATAAACTCTGTTTATTATTATTATTATTATTATATATTGCCCATACCTAGCGTTGTGAAAATGATCGGTCAAATTTTTTGTGTCAATTGACCGAAATAATTTTAAAAATACAATGAAATTTATATTTTGTTATATTGTGCGTTACGTCGCCGTCGCGTCGATTTTGTTGAACTAAAACGGCTGAATATTTTTGTTCGGATTTCCCGAATCACTAAGTATCGTATTCAGGTATTCCTTGAAGAGGGTTATAGGTAAATCACAAACGCATAATAATTTATTATAAAATACATATTATTATTATTATTAAATAATAATGGATAACACTTTACAATTGCAAGATTATTTCAAAGGTTTTGATCAAATTTGACTAGTCAAGTAAGACGTGGTCAATTGACTAGCCCCAACACTACCTATACCGAAAAATATTATATCGCGGGTATTTTCAAAAGTAAACCAAAAAAAATCTGCCATTAAGTTTGCACGGTGGCTTTTTCATTATATGAGTTAATTGTTATTCTTTTTCTTTTGTTACACATCTTTATTTATCTTTATTAGAATTTAATTTACTTTTTAAGTCCTGTTTTATAAAATACGATGAAATTCAACATTTCAGTTTCATTGTAACAAGAAACTTGGTTGTTTTACTAAATTAATTTCCTAAATAAATGAATATTATTAACTGTGGTAAACGGCATTTGAGTCACGGGTTTTTTGGCTAGCGGAGTGCAGCGGAGCGAGTGTTTAATAAACGAGTTACTTATAAGGTTTACCAAACGTGTTGCATACTATACTTTTTTTAGGACCGTTAGTTAGTTAGTTAGTCAGAATCGACAAACGTCAAAATTCAAATCCTGCGGTAATATCTCGGAAAACAGGCCATTGCTTCCAAACCCGTGCGGTAATACCCCGGAAATGTACGAAGCGGCCCGGATCCGTGGCAAACGAAACTCACCTGGTAAAATTGCGCTTTCCACGAATTGAATTGGTGTATACTTAGGTACTTTACGGCTGGGAGTAGTTTATGAATTACCTTCTATATAATCGTGGTAGTTTATATTTTTTAATTTCTACTTAGATCAATGTTATAAAGCAAATATTATCTGTATACTTTGGTGATCCTTTTTTATGACGGTGATACTTACATATTTTGTGGCAACGGTTGTGTAAAGTATTGTTTAGTAAGTAATTATCAACGTTTTTGACATTTCTTTTTTAGAAATTTAGATCGTTTTTTACAATGCCATTGGGTAGCGATAGGTAGCACAAGGAGCTTAATTCAATGTAGCCGCAGAGGTGAAATGCCAAAGCGTAACAGATTTTCTTCTTTTCAAGCATTTTGGACCAATTAAAAGAATGTTAGGGTAGAGTGTGCACCCGGCAAACTCAAATCAAACATAAATTTTCCGATAAACACCTTGCACTCCTCTGCAATTTGGACATATTTTACTCTTCACTCAAAATCCTTATTCCTTAATTTTATTATTTAATTTGATAATTGATTACGGATTGCCGTTATAAAAAAAGTTACGCAAACTCAAACAACTTTTGACTATGCGGTCTTGTAATTTCCGTAAAGAAAAGAAGACAAGTTAAATATATAAAGGACTGTCGATCCATAATTAGGAATAAACTTGAGAATGAAAAACGAAATTAAAAAGAATTTTAGTAGCGAAAAAAACTGTTTTTGTGAAGTTTCAATTAAAAAAAAAACAGAAAATACGTGCAAGAGGCAATGGAGACAAGGAAAAAATAACTTCGAACACTTTCTGCCAAATATTTGACTTTTTCACTATATTGATCACTATATTATGGCGTTAACTTCTCTACACTCAAGCGGAACAACCTGACACTGACATCACACGAGCCCAAAGACAATCGTAGGCAGCTCAACACTCAGCGACTACATAGCAAACCCAAAAATTAACACCCGAGCGCCCCCTATGCGTGGGCAAACGCACACACCTCTGCTTACCTCAACACGACGTTTCGATACAGTGCGTGAGGCAAAGAAAAAGTCCGGGTGTCGGAACGAGTCCGCAGCGGGCGTCCAAACACTGACGTCGCCGCGACGTCAGACTAGGCAGGCGTCGTAAACAGCCGCGCCGTCGCCACGATACCGCGGAACAATGGCGCCTCACGCCCGACCAATAAAATCGACGGATAATCGCGACCACTCATGTGAAAGTAATTGTCAGGCTACGCCTCTCTCTCTCTTTCGGTTCAGATTTCTTCAGTGGCGACTTTTGGGAACCTTACGGCCTCTCATTTTTTTGCCGAAATTTTGGGTAACCCTCTACCGTTAAATCCCGCATTTTAATTCCTGCCGTCGATATAAACGTCCGAAACTTTACATTGCAGAGCTCGGCGACTACGGCCTCGTTTCCGTATCGGACGGCAGCGCGTCAGAGTTTTACTCGATCCGAGTAGGCGTGGCGGAACCAGGGTCCCTCCCTTGTGTACCTAGGATCAAGTCACCCTTGAACAACAGAGTGACATGACGCTAAAGCCAGTCTTCTGTACGCTCCGCGTGGTATAACACACTTGCACGCGGGGATCTCGACCGAATAAATCTTAAGCACGTGGTTCCTCCTAGCCGAAAAATCAACGGACCATCAAGGAGCCCGCGTAATTATACGTCAAATCGGGCGTAAGAGGTGCACGCCCGTGAAAATTGGTCGAGCGGAATCGTAGCGGGTCGCGTTTGACTTTACCCCGGCGCCTACTCGATTTTGGAAACCTTACGTCGCGTTTTTGTTTTTGTTGTTTGGGACTTTTGTGATTCGTTGTTGTTGTTTTTTTTTCGTTTTTCCGCACGCGGGCCGCCATTTTAGTGGGACGAATGCGTTTTACCTTCGCCGATTTCGAAGGTAGGGCTCCGATTATTTAAAATTTTGCTGCGGTCCTGAAAGGTGTCAAGAAAGTTATTAATATAGTTTGGGAGCAATTTGTGGGGTTATTTTCCTTTTTGACGAAAACAATCCAGATATCGACGACAAATTTGTGAGGTGCATTATATGTACGGGGTGATATCGGCGTATGTTATTTCTTTTGCCCTCTTTTGTGCGAACCAATTTTGATATTTGAAGCAAAGCGTATAATATCATTTACATTTTCCTTGAAAAATATTTGTTATTATTTAAATCAAGGAATATACGTTTTTTTCTCTTTTCATCAAACTTCAAAGACGAGATTTTTATAATTCCATATCCATATTCAAATTCTTGTTAAATAAAATGCAAATCTGTAATAGAAATAAATGAAAATTAATATAATATAAATAAATTAAAATATTTTTATACTAAAATATAATTCAAATTTTTGACTTTGAATTATTCGAAAGCTATTTGTTCCTTAAAAAATATTTTAATATTTATTAAATACACTGTACCAAAACCGACTTTTTGCAGTGTCATCATTTAAAATTTAAATTCCTGTATATCCAAATCGACGTTTTCTTATTAACAAACAGATTATTTTGTTCCTACTTTATGTTTTCTTTTATAATTTATACGGGTGTCAATGAGAAACTATTCACATAACTTTTTCGATATTTTTTCTATAATATATCATTTCAGAAAATCGTAGTTGGTTTAAAAAACATTTTTTTAATCTAAGTCGCCTTTGAGTTGGTTTTCATATAGTAACAAAATCGACTCAGATATTTTCTGATTTTATATTAATGAATAATATAATATAATATAAATAAAAATATTCTTATACTAAAATTCTATTTAAATTTTATATGCCTACCTAACCGGCTACATATTAAGTTCTTGAGTATCTTCAAATTTTTGACTTTGAATAATTCTAAAGCTATTTGTTGTTTAAAAAATATTTTAATATGTATTAAATACACTGTACCAAAACCGCCAAATTGTCGTTTTATTATTAACAAACAAATTATTTTTTCCTACTTTATGTTTTGGTTTGTAATTTATACGGGTATCAATGAGAAACTTTTCAAATAGCTTTTTTCGACATTTTTTATATAATATAATTTCAGAAAATCGTTGTTGGTTTAAAAAACATTTTTTTAGTCTAAGTCGTTTTTGAATTGGTTTTCATATAGTAACAACGTAGACTCAGATATTTTCTTATGTTACATTAGCTTAATTTTAAACACAACAATAAATAACAGGGAAGTTACCTTCCAGTTATACCTTCGAAGTCCCGGACAAGCTACCAAAAATGTATACAATTTTTGAAATATGGTACCTGAAAAAAATTGTGGAAAAAAGATTTGTGGAGACGTTTTATTGGCGTATGTATTTAGCAGAAAAATCAAGAAAGCTAATATTCAGTGTTGAAAATACTAAACAGCCTTCACGAAGAAAAAAATTGTAGCAAATCAAGCACAGAAATCGGGATTATAAAAATAAAAATTCTTAGTAGAAGCAACAGGACAATATTTTCTTATGATCAAAATTTTGTTGTCGACCAGAGGAAATTACTAATATGTTATGACATGACAGATACATAAACTATTCCGTCGGTTAACATTCCAAACACCAAAACAAATTATCTAAGATCATTATTAATTACTGGAAAAAATAGTTAAATTTTAATTGAAAATTATCTCTCTCTCTTGAAAATACCATGCAATACGCCATTTTATCATTGTGTTCGTCGCACTTTAGCTGCATTGTTAGCTAATAGGAGTGCTGATATAGCAAAAAAAATATCAAAAGGCACTCAATTCAGACATAACAAATATTGTATCACAAACTCATTATAATTTAAGCAGTCTCAACAATCTCACATTAACAAGTAACTCTAAAATACCCAATTGTACGCTGATCAAACATATGGATCAAGCGTTCGTTTTGTTTTGCAAAAATGTTCCTAAAAACTAATTGTCGTAGAAAAATAAGCAAGTATGACAAAGTTCGTCAGTCACTCGTTCATTGAGCACTCGCTCCGCTTCGCTTGGGGAGTCCCTAAAATGGCCTTTATCAAATATGTTCCATAATATAAAACAGGTCTCGAAACTGGGTTTACTGCACGTATAGGTTACGCTCATCTTGGAATTTGCCTCTTTGTTAAGTACAAAGGCACTTTCTGGATTTGCTGGATTGCATTTCGTGAAAGCGAATGCGATGTGACCATAGATATATTATCAAGGCATTATAACGTGAAGCAATGGGCTGAGACAATGTTGCCTGTGCGGTATCTCCTGGCTTTCTTGCCGATAAACCATACATATTTATGTATTCAAAAACATTTTTAAATTAGAAATTTATCTCATTATATGTTAACAAAATGTCTTGCTAATATTTCCAATAAAATCGCAAATATTTCTTTTTTTTAACAATATCGATATGGGGGAGTTTTATGTGCTTCATACTACGTCTGCACAACAACAACCGTTCCTTGCCTACATACCTTTATTTTTCAAAGAAACTTCCGCTGTAATACTTTTTCAAAAAATTAACGGACAAATTTTTGAACAAACGTTGGGAACAGCTTTGGGTTCTCTATTATCACTAGTCATCACAAATATATTTATTGAAGCCTTTGAGAAGAAAGCTCTCGATCGATTATACTTTTGTTATTTGACCTCATATTCAACAAACCCTAGTAGATTTTCTTAGACATTTCAACTATATACACCCTAACATACGTTTAACCATAAGCTTCCATTCTTAGATATTCTTATCAATAGAAAATCAGACCTAACATTGGGTCATTATGTTTACAAAAAACCTACTCACACAGACCGATACTTTAATGCATGGTCATATCACCATCCGGCCCAAACATCATCGGTTATCCACTCTCTTGTTTAGAGAGCCGTAAAACTATCTCAGCAGGAGTCACTGAACCCATAATTAAAACACCTTACCTCTGCTGTTCTCTCTAATAATTTTCACGTTATAGACATTAAGCGTTCCATAAAAAAATACACTTCACCACAACCTTCCAATAGCAATAAGGCCGAAAGTTATCCTACACTTGCCACTGTGGTCCTTCTTTATATCGAAAACATCACTGACCACACATCAAAGGTTCTTAAGAAATATAACGTCAAAAACAAGATTTACCGCTTGTCCTAAAATCTCTCAACATCTTCGATCCGTCAAAGACAAAATTCCATTTGAGTTTCCAGGAGTTTACAGTATTCCATGCATATGCGGCAAAGAATACATTGGAGAGACCGGACGAAAAATATCAACTAGGTTCAAAGAACACGAAAGAGCCTTACGACTAAGACAAATAAACTCATCAACTGTTTCCGAACACAATCACGAAACCGGATATAACTAAAATTGCATGTAATCAATTCTTCTACCAACGAAAAATCTGAGAGTGTATAGAAATCCATAAACAACCTAACAATCTTAACCGCTACTCAGGTCTCCAAGTCGGTGTTTATGACGCTGATTTAGCTCCGCCCCCTTCGAACAATATATAAGCAGGTACAGAGTAAAATGCGAGCCAGTTTCAGTCAAGCTCTGAATAAGCGAACAGGATGATTGGCGAAATGTCAGCAAGTTCGACGTAGGAGGAATCCAGCAGTTTTGTAAAAAGTATTACATTTATATTATATTTGTATCACAACAGCAGGAATTTTATGAATGACTTATTTTACTTCAAATAGTCGTGAAAACAACTACTGAGGCATTAAGAGAGGCGATCTGAAACGTACAGTTACGGGAGAGGGAGAGAGAGAGAGAGAAATCTTTAAAGCTCCGAAGTATAACGATATAGTAAACTTTCTATACCCCGACGGATTCCTTTTGCTCTTTATGCCTGCGACCACTCGTCGGAAACATTCGTTTGATCTTCTCCGCCCTCTCACCGTTATGTCAAAATCGTACGTCGTTAGGTTTAACTCGGCTAAAAAAAAAACTTGACTTTTTTAATTATATGATGACAAGTGCCTCGCGAGTGATCCGCGCCGATTTCTATAGCGTCGGCTCTGGTTTCTTTAACGTATATAAGTCTGTTCGATTTGAAAGAGTTAAGGACACAGAGAGAGGGAGAGGACGAGTGGTAAGCTTGGGATTTCGGCTCGTCGGCGATCGGCGTTAATTTAGGACACGATTTAAACTGAAATTAAGTAAGTTTTAATTGGCAGGCAAAAGAACTCGAATAAGTACAAAATCATGCAACAAATTTGATAGACGGCTCATTGGCCACTAGTGACAAAAAAAGTCTATCAGTCTATGGTATACTTTTTTTTACAGTAGGAAGTAGAACTAAACCTAAATAGAAGAATCTGTCTAGGGGATAATAATGGATAACATTATAGAAAAGCTGCCTAAAATGTTAAGATATTGCATGCGAATATTTATGATTCAAAGATCAATGTGCAACGGCTACTTCACCTGTTCGGTGACAAAATTAAACATGATAGTGAAACAGTAACAACAAAACTAAGCGTCAATGAAATGACGTATTTAGAAGCAAATTTAGCAGATTGAAAAGGAAAGGAAGGAAGGAGAGCTCCTCTTATTTCCGGATGCCTAAAAGATTTTATATGAAGGAGCGAATATCTAAACCCTGAGAGCAAAGCTAGGATATACAAAAGCGCAGTTAGGCCATATTAACCTAGGCAACAGAGACAAGATCAGCATGAGGCAAAGAACTTGCAAATGATGGGCACAGTGGAAACATTTAAACATGTTAGGGAAATCACTATACAACAGAGTCAGAAATGGAAGCCTTAGGGAAGAAAGTCACAAGACCTGACAAAATGGGTTAGAAAAAGAAAGAAATTCTGGAATAAACACATAAACAGAATGAACGATGGTGGATTATCAAAAATGGCAAAGAACAATATGACAGTCGGAAGAAGATCCAGAGGAAGACCGTAGAGGGGGGTGACTTTACTACGATAAATAAACGAAAGTTTACCATTTGGGAA